TATTGAGCTGCATGGATTCAAATAAAATGGACCCTTCCCTGCCTGTACTTCTGCTGTCACAATCAACTGAAAGACTCGATCCTTGTGCCTTTTTAAGCAAGTAAACTCGATTGAACATAACATTAAGGAAATAAGCAGGCAAGCAGAAGCATTAAAGTCCTACAGTTCTGGTTCTTATCCTAAAACAAACAGGACACAGGAAATGGACATAGTTGCACGTGCTCCTGCTAGGCTTCCGGGAACCTCATAGGGCTCTGTTCCTCTGACATACCCTGGCAGCATTACATAGGGCGAGAGAGTTTGAATAGCTTCAAATTCTAATGTGAAATAGCATCCTTTGCTTGAGCACTATGTAAGATCACAAATTCAGTCCTCATATATAAACAATTGATCCTTGTAATTGTTCAAATAAAAACCTAACTGTCATTTAAATCCGATCTTGACTTACCATCCACTTGAGATTTCTTCAGGAAAATTGTGCACGCCTCTGGATGGTCAGAAGGGATTAAACCTAAAGCCCAAATAGAAAAATGCATCATTTAAAAATAGCTACACACCAATTTATACCACTTATAACGGTGTTGGGAAGAATTTTTAAGTAATGGTAACAAGCCAAGTTTAGTCAAGGCGATGTAAGAAATGAACCTCTGTGATCCACCTCCAGTATGGTCGGCTTTTGATGGGATTTACTGAATTTCCCAAGACAAACAGAAAGTAGGGAGGAGGGAAGAGGAACAAAGAACTGTGCACCTGGGCCAGCATCATGATGGAAACCCCTGAGGCATCTGCTTCAGCTAAACAGGGGAGGTGCAGGAAGCTAGAAAGGCTTCAGCCCAATATTGTAAAAGGCCCAATGGGAGACAGCAAGACCTAGGTGACCTATGAGGAAACAGGTGACCCCATAGTACTCAGCCAATGAGGATCTGGAGGAGGGATTAAATAAATAGCCTATGCTCCCCATATCAGGTGTGCCTACGACAAAGGACACCAACTCTGGAGGCCAAATTATTAAATGTCTCATTTTCGCCATACTTCTGTCTCCGGGTCCGTCATTTGAATTCGGACAGATGAGCCATTTCTCACAGCAACAATATAAAAATTCTACTGGGAAAATTTAAAATTGTAGAATCTTTCTATGCATGTGGAATAAATACAAGCTATGCCTAAGACTTTTTTTTAACTTGCACCTAAGTAGTCTATGAAT